GCATCGGAATGCAAAGCGCTTATCGCTCACTCTGGATTATTCAGAAGTGGAATCCCTCATAAATAGCTTCTGTACATGATGGTCTGGGGTGGGGCATGAGGGCTTCTACGGGCGTTCCTGCCTCATCCCAGCTCTGCGCCTGCAGGTGGGAGAACAAGGACGTGTACGCGGCCGCGATCCGGAGCCTGCGGATGCGGGAGCTACAGACCCCGGAGTGCATGACTGCAGTGAGGGCAGGGCTGGGCTCCATCATCCCCCTGCAGCTCCTCACCACGCTCACCCCCCTGGAGATGGAGCTCAGGACCTGTGGCCTCCCCTACATCAACCTGGAGTTTCTCAAGGTACAAAGAATGGCGGGTTTGGCCGAGCTCCCCCTGGGACACAGAGAGGAGGATCCAGTGGGAAGGTGTTGGGGGTAATCTTCTGCTTGTGATGCACCCAGGACATCCTTGAGGAACTCTGGCCTGTACTTGGACACCTCTCTTTACTCCCAGGGAAGTTTTTTAAGATTTCACTGGCTTCAGGAAATAATAGGAGTGGGGCTTGTTCCAGAGAGGAATAAGGAATTTGCTTTTTAACATCAAATTTTTAAATCCATCTCCATTTTATTGATTTGTATTTATCTGAAGTGTAGTGGGAAAGATTCCCGAAGGCAGAGAGGAGGGCAGGAGTGGACATGTGCTTTCTGTTCCCTCAGGCACACACCATGTACCAGGTGGGACTGATGGAGACCGATCAGCACATCGAGTTCTTCTGGAGCGCCCTGGAGATGTTCACGCAGGAGGAGCTCTGCAAGTTCATCAAGTTTGCCTGTAACCAGGAGAGGATCCCCTTCACCTGCCCCTGCAAGGACGGGGGCCCCGACACCGCCCACGTGCCCCCATATCCCATGAAAATCGCCCCCCCTGACGGTGCTGCAGGTACGGGGGTGTCCTGGGGGTGTCCACCTCCAAAGGCAAGGGGAGGTGGTTCCTCTCATGGCACAGTTCCAGCTTTCAGTCCCCCTTCACGTAATTTAAACTTGTATTTAGTGCACAAACAATGACAATGAGAGAGGCAGGTAGTTGTGAGTGTAAATAAGAAGAGAATTTGGTTTTAAGCCATGTAAAAATAAAATGGAACATAAACCTGAACTTCTAGCGGAAGGTTCCCTGCCCGTGGCAGGGTGGTGGAACTGGATGAGCTTTAAGGTCCTTTCCAACTCAAATCATTCTGAGATTCCATGATACTTAAAATTTTGTCTCTAGAGAGACACTGAGAGACTTTGTATATTTGTCTCTTATGCTTTTAAAATTATTGGGCTATCGGAAAAATATCGGCCCAAGGCCTCTTGGAGAAGCACAGGATATTTAAGATTCAAAAGACCCACAAGAGGCAGGGATTTGATTTTGATACCCTCAGTAAGGGGTGTGGGGGAGGAACAGCTTTGGGACAATGAGGAGAAAAGCATTGGGTGTCTTCAACCACCCTTCCTGGTGCCTCTCCAACCCCCTCCTGGTGCCTCTCCCGGCAGGTTCCCCGGACTCGCGGTACATCCGTGTGGAGACGTGCATGTTCATGATCAAGCTCCCGCAATATTCCTCCCTGGACATCATGCTGGAGAAGCTCCGATACGCCATCCACTACCGGGAGGACCCTCTGAGCGGCTGAGGGGGAGGAAGGGGGTACCCAGAGGTGACTCTGTCGTGACTCTGCCGACGGTGGAAACCCTCCAGTTCCATCCAGCACCTCCCGTGACTCCACCTGACGAGCTGGAGGTTAATTTATTTTCTGAACCTTCGTTCCCGTTACAGTAATTCCCAGAAGACTTCCATTTTGTATTTGTAGACTTTGTGGTGGACTGGTTCTTTTGCTGCCTTGTTTGTGGAATATTTGTAGGATAGTTTAGTAAAGACCGGTTTGTGTATAATTTAATTGGGAAAAAACCAAACCTTTCAACATGTACATTTCTAATTTTGTAATCCAGAACGAGCTTCCCCTGCAAACACAGCAGCAGGGAGGGCGTTCCGAGGTCAGGAAAGTCATGGATCACTCTTCCTTGAGACATTTTTGAGTACAAAAATGCGCAGTTTGGGTGTGGGGAGGGAATCACTGCACTGGCAGAGGCAGAGCACGGGCACTGTTGTGTCATGGGCAGGATTCGTGGCACTTACTTGAGGTTTGGAGCAGGAACTTCACTGCCAAACCTCATGTCCACCTTTCCATCACTTCCTTTTAAATCTTTTTAAACTCTGAGCAAGCACACGGGGGCTGCCACTTAATATGGGTTCAGCTCAACACTTTTGGGAAGATTTATAACAGAACAGTGAAAGGGCAGTAATTCCATTGGGTTCCTGCCCTAGATGTTCTTGAATGTCTGCTTTGCTTAGCAACAAAATAATGTCTTGTAATTAAAATCTCAGCAGAACAAACTGGCTTCTCTCTGAAGGGTGTAAGATACCACAGTCCAACCCCAAAGTCTGGGACTTGATCCCAGTTCCCAACGAGCTTTCAGAACAACCAGGGTGTGATCAAACTCATTTTTGTACTCAAAAATCTTTGATCTAAAGAGCAAATTATCCTAAAAATGTGACACCCGGCAGGAGGACGAGGAAGGAGGATGAAGCTTCTGTTTTATATGGAAAGACAGGAGCCGGCTGCGGAGAGAGAATGACGCCACGTCTCACTTGGTGTGTTGTGGGACGTGGTTTGGGTGGTCAGAGCAGCCCTTCAAAGGTTGTCTTGTCCCTCACTGGTGTCAGTGGCCACCCCCATCCAGGGGTTTCATGGACGGTGTTGCTTCACTGATCACTTGGAACCTGAATTCCAAGGAAGAGCCCACCCTGGAATCCGCCTGTGCCGGGGGCTCGGCACTGCCCTGAGCCAAGTGCCAGTGCTGGGCTGCACTGGGGTGTCCCTCAGCCTCGGGAAGGGGTGGGTGGGGTGTGACGGCACCTCCAGGTCAGTGTTCCGTGTCTCCAGAACAGGGTTTGGCCTGTCCGTGCTCCTGGGAATCCCACTGTATTTATTGTACATTATTGTGAATATTGGGAACGGTGAGTGTGTGGGACGTGGGAGATGCTGTGAGTGAGGGAAGAGCCTGAACACGTGTGGATGTTGTTGTTCCGTGAGCGAGTGGGAATGTGTGTGCAAGTCGTAGGTAGTCGTTGGCATCCGGAGTCTCCCAACCCAGTGGTTAGGAAGCTGTTACCCTCCCATTGCATATCCCCCTTTCCAGGGAACAGATCCATGTAGGAAGAATATTTACTCTCCAATCTCGTCCATTCCCTGGTAGAAGCGTTTATGTAGCTCAGAAACCACTCGGAGGAAGCGCCAACACCTGGAGTTTACAAAGACCGAGGGAAAACGAAGCCGAAGGAGCGGCTTGGAGCCGGTTTGTTCCCAAAGGGTGTCCTGAGGAAACGTGGGGTACACCAGTGGAATTCCGTGGCAGAGCTGTGGCTGCAGGTTGGGCACTTTCTGGGTGGTTTTGGGTTCCAGTCCCCCACGTGAAGCCCGAAAGGCCCCGGGTGGGAGGAGCAGCCACAAAAGGCTCTGGAGCTCGGAATTCCAACGTTTCCCAAGGCGCTGGTTCCACTGTCTGTGTGCTCCTTGGAGAGCACATCCGAGTGGAGCACATCTGCACCCCGGCCCCGAGACGTGCTGGAAAGTTACTTGATCCGTATTTATTACAGTTAATTATTTATGATTACAAATAACGAACTTTGCGTCGATGCCGTTTGCACCTGGGGGTGTAAATGGAGCTTCTTCTACAGGACAAGTGTCACACCAGTAACCAACCTCCATCGACTTGGTTTGTTCTCAAGAACAGAATCAGCCCCACAGGAGAAGGAGCTGTGGGGGGTTTTCTTGGCTTTTTTTTTTTTTTTTTTTTAATTTCATGCTCCTTGGGAAGGAAGTGCTGCGGCCCCTCGGCTGCGGCTCCAATGGCCTTTTGATTAAAGCTTTTCTAATCATCCTTAATTCCTCGTGCTTTAAATGAACTTGACATTGTCTGTACTAGGCTTGTTTGTCAAAGCAAAGATTGGTTTGTGATGATTATTATTATTATTTTTTTTTAATATATATTCATTCAGAATGTAAAATTATACTAAACCATGGAAAAACTCTGGAGCTGGGTATTAGTTCTAGCTTGGTGTGTGTCCATCTCGGTTCCGTACACGGCATTAACCTGTAAGTGCTCTTGGCCATCGAGTGTACACCTGCATAAAGGAGATTCTTAACATCCCTCTGCACTTCTCGTGTCCTTCTTTGGGGCTGCCAGGAATGAAACCCACTGCTGGAGCTGCCTGAAGCACAGGATGAGGAGGGTGAGGAAGGAAGCTGCAGGTTCTCTCTTTAAATCCCTCTTTTATGGGTCATTTTTATTTACTTGGAACAAAATGTAAATATTTTGTACCAAAGCGAGCACAGCCACTGCTGAGCTTTCTTTTCCTAGAGACTGGGATATTTATCCTGAGGAGTAACACAGGCTCTGCCACCTCAGTAATTAGTTACTTGTCATACTAATGGTTTCTGACCCCAAGCATCCCATTATCCATCCCAAACCCCAGGAACCAGCTCCCTTTCCCTGATCTTCCCCAGGAATGGGGAGAACACAGGTTTGGTTGCCACCTGTTCTTGAATACCTTTATTCTTCTTATATAAATAAACGCCTTTGTTGGGAGCATCTGTAAAATGTCTTTATTTTAGGAGGAAGATCCCTCCAGCCCTCATTAATCTCCGGCTGCACCAGTGGGATGGAGATGAGACCCTGCCCAAAGGGTGACTGGCTAATTAGCCCTGCTAATGCCATCTGCTGCACCCCCTTAATTAGGCTTCTCAGAGACCTGCTGCAGCTCTTCCAGTACCACTTCCCAAAGCCCCAGGGCTGCCAACAGCACAGGAACACAGACCCAGGGCAGGTAAGGGTGAAACGGGGATTCCCAGACCCCCTGTCCAGCACCAGGGAAACACCCTCAGAGAAGGTTCATGGAACAGATTTTTACTGCACAACGTTCTGAGACAGCATCAGATAAACTTTATTCCAAGGAATTTACAAAACTGGGATAATGCGAGAAGCTTTTGACCTCTGACCCTCGGTCCCGCTCCGTGTGGGGCAGGTCCATCCAACTGCTCCCTGTTGGGTGGCACCTGCTGTGCCTGAGCAGGACAAGGCAGGACACACCCTGGGAGCTCAGCCTGGCATAAATCCTGTCCTGGGATTGCACAAGGAGCCCACACGGACACAGAACCCAGGTAGGGCCAAGGTTTTACTGCCTTGGGGGTGCTGGGGGCAATCGGAGATGTAAAAACCTGAAGTTTGCTCTCACAGATTAAAAATAGATACTTAGAAAATGGTCACTGCCTAAAAATTTAAATCCAAGGTGGGAATTTACTTGTGCTCTGACTAGAGTGGGGCAGAGCACAGGAACAGGGCCAAGAGCTCCGTGTCTTCCAGCACTGGTGGCTCATTCCTCAGGCGATCCTGCCCCTGGGCTCTGGGCTTTGGCCTTAAGGGAAGGGAGAAAGAAAGGAAAAATACTCTTTTCAAATATTACTTGATAATAAGCAATTGATAAAAAGCTCTCTGAAGCAGGAGAAATGTAAAATAACTCCTTGTCCTGGCAAAGCTATCACAAGGGGTAACAGCCAGGGACTGTCCTCTCCTCCCTGTCCATCTCCCTTGCAGGAGGAGCCCAGTGGGAGCCCCGGAGCAGCACTGGGACCCCTGGAACTCCCACCCCCTGAGCCCTGCAGGGCTGGGACCCATGTGCCCAGATCCCAGCCCATCCCACTGCCAGAGCTGCCCCTGCAGGCTCACCTTGGAGCTCCTGCGCCTGAGGCCGATGCGCCCGTCCTGCAGCCTGAGGCTCCTTCCTCCAGTGCTGGGGCTGTGGGGGATCAACAGGGACACCTTCAGAGGAGGCAAACACACCTGGGACAGGTGAGTATCACAGCAGGGACATGGGGAAGGGGTCAGGGAGAAGCTCGTGTCTCCCCTGAGCCCTGACCCAGGTATTTCTGTAACAGAACCAGCTCCTGTTGAGAGCCTGGGGAGAGCAGAGCACTGCCATGGACAGGTAACCAGGTGTCATCCTGCATTTTATCCCAGGGGCCACTTTGTCCATTCTATTTTGAGGTAAGAAGCTAAATTTGTTGTTTGAATCTCAGATAAGCACCAGCCAAGTTCAACTGAGTCCATTTGAAAGCCTGTGAAAAGCTTTTCAGCTACGGGCAAATTCGAGGGAATCAGATCTGCACCTCAAGGAAGGGGAAGAGAACAGAAGGCAAAGGTGGTACCTTGGCTGGGCTGGAGCAGCTCTGGAGAAGCTGGAGGTGAAGGTTTCTCCATGGAAGTGCTGAGCAGGTCTGGCTCGTGGCGTTGTCCCCCCTGCAGCTTCACCTGTCCCTCTGTCCTTTGGTCTCCCCTGGCTGCCATTCCCCTTCCTGGGCTTGCCCTGCATGTTGGGAGCATCAGCAGCTCCCGGGGAACAGGACAATGGTGTGTTCCTGGCGTTGGCCATGTCATTCCTCAGCTTGGTCCCTCGGGCAGGGCAGCCCAGCCCTGACTGCCCAAAGCCTTCTGTGGGCCGAGGAGAAACATCTCCTGCAAGGACAGGACACAGAGCTTAACAGGAACAGCACCTGCAGCACCAGCCCCTGGAGAGAACAGAACCAGACCCATTTCCATCTCTGCAACCCAAGGCTCCATAACCCAAGGCTCTGGGTCCTCATTGAGGACCCAGAGTTTAGTGATTTAATCCTCCCAGACTGGGGGAGAGGACTGAAGGTTTTTCAACTTAGAGACAGAACAGGGTAACAGCACCAGCACAGAGCACGTTTGATGTGCCCCAACCACAGAGCAGAGTGAGCCTGTGCTGTGCCCACCTTGGTGCCTGCTCCGTCGCCGCGCCGGCTCCGGCGATTCCCGTCTCTCCGGGGCTGGAGCAGCGGCCGCAGGGCTGGCCGGGCGCAGGTCACACTGGTGCTGCAGCAGAACACACAGACACTGCTCACATCACCTCCCACCCAACTATTCCTGGGAAACACTGAGCAGCAGCACCCCCCGCAAAGGAGAAGGTTAGTAGGGAATTGTTGTCATGGAATCCCAGAAGGGACCTTAAAGCTGATCCAGTTCCAGCCCCTGCCAGGTTGGCCAGGGCTTGGAGCAACCTGAGCTAGTGGGAGGTGTCCCTGCCCATGGCAGGGGCTGGAACTGGATGGGCTCTAAGGTTCCTTCCACCCCAAACTATTCTGGGATAACCTATGAAATGGTATCAGATCTCATTTCCAACAACCCTGATTTTACTCTCCCCCAGGATAGGAGAGGAAAGGCCCAGAACAACCACCCAAACTCCAGCTGCAAACTCCAGTTTGTTGGGACCAAGAGCGTGAAAGAGCCATGACATAGAAAATGAGTGAGCTCAGCATTTTCCAATCTTGTCTGTAACAGCAGCAGATTCCAGAGGGCACACCACTCCCAGGTCTGTTCTCTACTTCCTCTCCCACCCACACAGTTTTGCCCTTGTGCTCCTCTCCCCCCTCAGTTGACTCACATCCAGGTTTCCGCAACATTTTCTGTATGAGTCAAATACTTCAATTGTGCAATTTCAGCCCTTTTGTTTAGTTTCTGTTACAAGAGCTTTAAAATAATCTGGTACTTTTCAGTCAGAGCCTCACCCTGGCACAACCCTCCAGCTGGACCCCAGAGCTTTGTTTAGGAAGCTCTGACCCAGGGACAGTTACCTGAATTCCTAAAATGTCCAAGAGCCCTCAGGACTCAGCACGTCCTTGAGCTGGATGTGACACGACAGATCACATCCTGTTCAGTACCTGATGATGGAAGAGAATCTCCTCTTCCAGTTGGATGCCACAAAATTCACATGGAATCATGATGTTTCCATCTGCCTGGACAGCTTGGGGTTGGGATGAAGGGAGAGTCCTCCAGCTGTTGGAGCCAACAGCACACAGACCATCGTAGTCCCATGGATTTGGAGAAGAGCTTCTCTTACTGAACGAGGCAAAGGCACTTGCTGGGTTACACCCCGTCTGTTACACAAGAAACACAGAAAAATCACCTTTCCTGCTGAGCCAGGCGACTCTAAAAACCACTTTCCTTGGCAAAGACCCAACTGCCAGAGTTCTCTCAGTGTCACTGTGTCAACCACACCTTTTCCAGTCACAGTAAAGTCTTTACTTCAAACCCCAAGACACAAGGTAGCCCCAAACCTGGTGAAGGATCAGCTCCTCGGCAGGGCAGAGCTCCTCACAGAACTCACAGGGCAACATGATGGTCTCCGTGTCTGCAAGGGAAGGGAAGGAAACATCCTCTACTGTGGAGAGTCTGGAGCAGCTGGAGTGACTGATCTTCACAATCCCTGAGCACCAGGCTCTGGTCTGTGCTGGGACAGCACCCAGAGCAAACGCTGAGGAAACAGCTCCTCCCGCCCCACTCGCTGAGCTTCACATCACCCAGAGGAGAGCAGTGCTTTGGGGTCAAAGATGGAGTGAATGGTCTGGGAAAAACACCTCTTACTGCCCTCAATAAACCCTTCAGTGCCATTTGTCCTTCCAAAGTAAGCTGCTCTCCAGGCCCCTCCCAGATCCTACTTCCCATCATGTCTAATTTCCATGAGAACATCCCTCCCTGGCTGTGGGGGGGCTCCCACCACTAACCAAGGTCAGAGACCCCCCACAGCTTTTATTCCTTCTTCCCTTGCTTTGCCTTAGGAGAAGTCCTAATTTGCCTTAGGACTAATTTTGACATTTTAAAATACCTAGATAATTTTTAACATTCCCAGTCCAATCTTTCCTTCTCCCTTCCCTCAAATTTAAGGACCCACCACCACCACCACCATATTTACACTTACTTTTTCTGCAGTTTGAGGTGCTAAAAGACCCTGGAGAGTCGTAGGAGAAGGTGTTTGGCTGCTGTGTCTCACTGAGGTGGGCAGCTGACCCGGGCTCTTTGGTGTAATCATATTCCCAGAAGTCCCTGGGAATTCCAGCTGCAGTGTTAGGGTGAGGATTATTCTCATTTTGCAGGCTGAGAGCCAACGCGTAGTCTAACTCAGCATTCCACTCCTCTGGAAGTGGGGAATGAGGGATTTCACTTCTCTCCAGCTGCTCCAGCTCATCCTCTTCAAAAGATAAATATTGTAAATTTGAGAAAACATTAAACCTGCCCCCAGCAGTTCCCTCCCAGGACACTCCTGGAGTTCAGCCTTTCAAAGCCAAGGACAGCTGTCCCAAATTCAGGAGGATGAACAAGGAGAATCATCCTGGGTTTGTTTGTACCAAGCAAAAAAGGAGAAAAATAAGGAAGTTGTAACTTCCTTACTCCAAAAGCTTGAACTGAGGCTTCTTGGGAGCTTTAGTGACTACACTGAGCAAGTTATTAATACCCTGTAACCTTATACCTTTTACAAGGCTGAAACACTCCAGCTTTGTTTTTTCAGTATATTGATAAGAAAACAAATTATTCTCAAGGACACTGTATTTGACAACAGTGGGAATTACACAGAAGAAACCCACGAAATGTCACAGTTTCAAAATTTTCATGGGTTTTAATTTCGTTTGCTGGTAGGGAAGCTGCACTGAAAGGAAAACCAGGCTTCCAGAGGCTGCACTGAAAGAAAATCAGGATTCCAGACTTCTGATTTCTTTGATTCTCCTGCTCCTGTTTTCCCCCTCACAGCTGCCCTAAATCTGCTCTTCCCCCTGGGCTCCCCCCTGGCCCAGCGCAGGTACCTGGTCTCAGTCGGTTCCTCGCACCTCGCAGACCTCCCTCCTCATTCCCAAATCCTGGTGCTGTCCCGCTCCCTCGGGGTTTCTCCTCCGTCCCACAGACCCGGGGGTGCTCCTTGAGGTCCCTCAGCAGGACATTCCGGCCGCAGTCCCCGCAGGGCTCGGTCCTGGCCCCGCAGTAGCTCTCGTGCTCCTGGAGCTTGTTGAAGGCCAGCGGGATGTCACAGAACTGGCACAGCACGGGGCGCAGGGGACACGCTGACTCCTGCAAGACACACAGGGATGGCTCTTCCCACGTGAGGCAAAGGAGGAGGGAGGGTCTCAGTTTGCTCAGGGGTTCAGCACTCTGTTGTTTCCTCATCCAAAGCCTCACTAAAAAAATAGCCTGGAATAAGATACGACCCGAGAAACGTAACGACAACGTGTTGTATGAGCTGTGTACCACAAACTGAAGCTCTCCAGATACTCAGAGCACCGTTTGAAATTATTTTTGACCTGGACAGCAGGTTCACATGGAGGTTTTTGAAGGTGGCTTTTAGATACAGACCTGAAATCCAAGGACATTTCACTGAGTACAGCTAAAAACCACCTTGGTGTGTGTTCTGCAGGGAACAGACTTACACCTCATTTACTACTCAGCAAAAACTGCTTGTAAATATTCTTTACCCCACACTCGACAACAGGTAAGTTGCCCTTTAAAAGGGGTTAAAAATAGATAAAATACCTGTTATAACTGCAGATGCTGCAATAATAAAACAGCACTGTTTGCTTTGCAAACAAAGCCAAAAGCGTCACACACAAAGGGGCAGGATAAGCCACTTCCAGGGTTTAGAACTGGACAGATTTCCAAGGAAAATCCTTTTTCCCCTCAGCAATAAACAGGCTGAGGTGGCACTTCCAGAGCTGCCTTTAAATGAGCCCACGGGAAGGGACTGACATTTATAACAAGATTGCCTGTGACAGCAGCCAAGTGGATTCAGAACTCAGAAAATCCCACTGTGTCCTATTTTAGTTTATTTTACAGGCTATTTTTAAAGTCTGTTTGGACAGAAGTTATTGCAACTCACATATAATAATCAGTTATTAAAACTCAATCCCTGCAGCAGAGGCAGAAACATAAAATGGTAAAGGAATGGACAAAAAGCCAGGTTAATCATATTTTGAAATACTTATTTTTCACTTTAATCACTAATAAGGACAAAAAATTACCAGTTATCACAGATGGCTTGACATGAAGACCCTATGTGGCTCCAGCACTTTAAGGCAGTTTCCAACCCCCTTCTCCCACAAAGTGTGAATTTAGGAAGCATCACTCAGTAAAAGGATGCACAAACCACAGGCTGGAATTCTGGCTGACAGGAAGGCTCTGGAATCAGTGCTTGGAAACACCACAGAGTCTCTCCCAAGGGTTTAAGAAGAGAAAATCCACCAACCTCGTGATCCTTAAGGAGACTGTTTTCAATCTTCATCCTACACTTGCAGGTCACCTGCAGCAAACAGACCTGGTTGGATTAATTGCCACAGAAATCAGCAGTTTCAGAGGGGGAATGTGTTTCTCACCTGCACATGTTCAGACTCAATGTGGTTCTTCATCTCAGACTTTGGGATGGAGTCGCTGCAGTAGGGACATATTTCAATATTCCTGCGACAGTGGATTTCATGGATGAGGAAATTAACTGCAGGAATGTCCTTTTTGCTGGGAGAAAATCACTGAGGTTACTGGGCAGAAACACACTGACAACAAATTCAAAAAGTTGTTCGTAACAAAAAAATAATGCTAAGGAAGATTTTGATGAATTCATGGTTTAAAGTGATTGAGTAACTCCAGAGAAAGGCCCAGCCAGGCCTCAAGGTTCCTGCACAGGTGGATATTAATGTATTTAGCACCCAAAAATCACATTGCATTAAGATAAAATCCAGGTGCATTTATTTCCTTACGTGAAAGGTGAATCATGCAGCACAAACAAGTTAGCACCGGTGCAAGTTAATAAACTAACCTGAGGAGATAAAAGCTTCTGCCTGAAAATAACTTGGCTATGAGATGTCAAACATTGTTCCCTTGTTCAGGGAATGATGAAATCATGGAATGGTTTGGGTTGGAAGGGACCTTCAAGCTTATGCAGTTCCACCCCTGCATGGGCAGGGATACCTTCCACAGCCCAGGTTGCTCAGAGCCCCAGCAGTAACAACACTACTCTGTACCCCAAAATTCCCCAGCTCTTATTTCTAAGATGCCCGTTTTCCTCCCCTGAGGACAGGAAAGGACCAAAGACAAAAGGACCAAAAAGAACTGAGGCGCCAGGAGCTCAGTCCTCACTCCTGCCTCAAGCAGGAAGCATCGCTTCTAGATGGATGTATCATCCCCCCTCCAGGAAATCAGCCCTGAAAACACCCAAATTAACTGTATAACCTCTTGCTCCAACTCCAGCTGTTCATGTTTCTTTTTTTTTGCCAAAACCCTGGCAAAGCAACAAGGCCCCACAGCAGCATCTGAGCTGCGCAGACCAAACAAACCCGGATGATGTTGCAAGAAGCCCTTTGGGTTCTGTTGTCTCTCTGAAAAAAAACAACACTGAAGAAGTTGATTTCTTTAACTGCTTGTAGTCAGGACCCAATTTGTGAGGTGAGGTTATCAGTCACTGAATTACCATCAATGGGAGCTGCTGTCAGAGAGAACTTCCACAACAACGTATGCTTAGGGCTTCTATTTTTATATTTCTCCTGAGCTTCTGAAGCACAGAGCTACTGAAGGAAAACCTGAAATCGTGTGGATTTCACTGAAAAACGAGTCTGTATTTCTATCTGAACGCTTTAGTTTCTCCCTAACAGCCTGTTAAGAAACTTGAGTAAAAGTGGAGAAAATGACAAGGCGTTAATAGCTGAGAAGGTAAAAACGACGGCCAAGCGTTTGTCTATAAAGGCAGTAGTTATTCCGCTGGATCGCCGGTGTTTCCAGCATTCCACAGAGTCCTACCCCGGTTCAACGCGGCTCCGGCCCGGCCCAGCCCTCACCGACCCCGGCCCGGCCTTACCAGTTCCCGCAGAGCCGGGACTCGGCCCCGGGCACGGCGGCGATGGCCATGGCTGGGCCGGTGCCCCGAGGGGCTGCTGCTGCTGCTGCTGCTCCTCCTGCCCCTTCCCCTGGCGGGGAGCGAGCGAGAAAAGGAGGGAAGGAGGAAGGGAGCGAGTGAGGGGGGAGCGCGGCCCGGCGGGTGCCGCTGGCGGGGGCCCCCAGCCCGGCCCGGGGCGGTTGCAGAGGTCGGTCCCGGGGCTCCGGGGCTCCGGCCGCTCGCAGGGGGCCCTCGGCCCTGGGCTCGGCGGGTGCCGCTCGCAGGTCCCTCAGGGCTCGGCGGGTGCCCCCGAGGGGTCGGTAGCCGGGTGTCGGTCGCGGCTACTCCGGGGCTCGGCGGGTGTCGATCGCGGGCGTCCCCAGGCCCGACCCGGCTTAGTGTCGGCGCCCCAGATCCGTGTCAGTCACCGCTCCCGGTGGCTCGCGTCCCCAAACCCAGCCCGGGCCGCTCTCGCTGCCTCCGCGTCAGCGCCCGCGTCCCCAACCCCGACTCGCGTCGCTCACGCGCATCCCCAAGGCCCCTTCCCACCAGCGCTGCGGATACCCCCCAGCTCAGCGCCGCGGGTATCCCCCCCCC